TTCCGAGGTCCCTTCCAGCCCTAATGTCTATGAAGAAATGGCCAAATCCGAAACTGAAATGAAACAAAGCCATTTCGCACAGACCTAGTTGTTTGGATTGCTGGGAATGGGTGGAGCTACCTCGTGGAGCAGCTTCTTTTTTTTTTTTTTATGGCCTGAGATCTGTGATGGCTGCTGCTGGTATTCCTTATGGATCCCTGAACTCTGCAGAAATGACAAGACTATTTGCTAATCCCTGTGACCTGCAACTCCCTAAAAGGGAGAGTGGGTCAAAAACTTGGGAGTTCTTTCTTTTCTGTGTAATTTGACTCTGCTCTACACTTTTAGAAGTGCTAGTGTTCAAAGGCTGTCAGTTCATACAAGGTTTGAGTCTTGGAATGAGTAGTACATGGCTTCCTGTCCCATGGTTATGTGCTATAAGCATTCATATTCAAGCACCTGGTAGCCAGAGAACTCAGCAGAAGTATCCCTGCATTCTTGTACAGGTTCCTTGTATCTGCACCTGAGCTAAAAGGCAGGCAAAAGACAAGCAATATACTGTAGAGTGAAAACCAACATAAATCAGCCTTCTGATTTTGATATATGCTACCTGAATTTGTCACTCCACATAACGTGTTGAATGGGACAGGGTGTAGGCAAAACATCTCAGTTGTGTAACTAAGGGAGGTGTGACAGGGGCAGCAGCAAAGAACAAAGAAAGCAAATTAGTACCTTACAGTCCAGTCTACAAAGTCGCCCTTCATGAGCTACCATGTCTCCAGGTGCTTGTAGAAAATAGGGCCGGAAAAAGCGTTCTTGCATCGGTTCTTTATCTCCTTCTGGCACTCGGGACCTAGTCCTGCAACAAAAAATGATACATGTATGTTAAGAAGAAATGGATACAGTTTTTCTAAAATTTAGTTCAGGGCAGAAAGTGAGAAAATTGTACAGATGTTTAGTAAAACTAAAAAGGCAATACCCAAAACAGGTCTTAAGTAAATATAATAATGGCATAGTTTTTATGTAATAGGACTGTTAAATGAGCTGTATAATATAGCAAGTAAAATTAGTCATTTCAGGTGTTTTGGGGGTTGGGTTTTTTTGCAGTTTTGCAAATTCAACCATTTTTCCCCAGCTCCATTGAATCAATGACTGACTGACCACTACTACTGCTACTACTACTAATTTGCACTTTTAGTAGTACCTTCCACCTGCTGATTTCAAAACACTTGACAGACATTAGTGAGTTGAACCCTACTCGTAGTTTGATTGGGAATTACTTCCTCCTCCCATTTTACAGATGGGGGAGTGAAATAGAGGCCAACTCCCCCTTCCTTCCTTCCCTCCCCCCCACAAAAGATGACTTGTGATTTTGGGCGTGGTCACTGATACGATACATGAAATGCACCCATTTTTTCAGGTGCGTACTCAGCTCGTACTAGATATTTCCGTTGGATACCAAATATCTAGAACCCCCCAAACATTAGCTACTTTGAAAACCTCGGCCTAATTGATTCGCCAACAATAACACGGGTAGTCTATTAGAGAAGCAGGAATAGAATTAGACATATTGTAGTTTTCATCTTCTGATTCTCTTTTTTGTGATTTAGACCAAATGAATCTTTGCCTAGCTATTATAAACCTCTTATTCTGTACAATTACACAAAAAACCAAATAAAAGATGGATAAGATGAGCAGCAGTTGAATGTCATTAGAGCAAATTTTACTCTTCCTGGTAAAATTGTATAGTTTGGCTCTGGATCCATCAGCACCAGGAGATGACAATATATCACCCAACCTGAAAAAGACATCAAAAAGGCAACTTTGATGAATCAGAAATTGTACATTTATGTGTACAGCTTCATACTTCATTTTACCTGTGAGACTGAATAGTTGTTGATAATCGTCCACGTACAGGAATAGTTTGAACCATCAAGTGGCCAGAGCAACTGATTCTCCCCTGAAAAATTGAATGAAAGTAGAGTTAACTCTTGTTTAACAGTTTGTTCAGTTCCTAATTATTAAAGTTTGACTCCTGCAGTATACTATAGTATTTTTATACTGAAAAGAGTCAGAATGGATGACAATAATTATTAGTATTTCACAAGTGCTTTGACATAAAGGGCAACTGAATGACTGTGATTGTGTACTTTAGAGACCAGATGAGTAAAAACATGGGCAGGTTTTCTGTATTTCTCCCATACATAGTTTCTTCCACCATCCGCCAAAGCATCTGGTTTTGGCTATTGTTCCAAACAGAATATTGGACTAGATGTACCAGTGATCTGATCTGACGTGGCCATTCCTAATTACATACCTTTCTAAACTTGAAGCAGTTACATAGGTGTGAAAGAAAAATCCCTTTACCTGTGGATTGGCAGCCATAATTGTATAGTTTCCATCGTCATCATTTGTAGTATCTTCAATATGTAAAGAACATGTTCCATCTCCTTCTCTCTTCATCTTGAAATGGTTATTCTTCTTTGAAATCTGCTTTCCATCCTTGAACCAATATACCTGAAGTGAGCCCAAAGATAGACAGCTATTGAAATTTGCTCTGCAGTTGACTTATGAATAGGCACTGTGCAGATAAAAGTAACTTGTTTCTTGAGCAATTACTATTTCACATGCACAATTTGTAGATCTTTTAAGATACAGTATAGAATGTTTCAGTGCTGGGATAATGTTAGTTAACTTCACAGAAATATAGATTACTTGGTTTTGTTTTGTTATGTGCATTTGTGAATGTCACCAAATCAGCCCACATATCTGAAACAGATTAGACCTTTATATTTTTACAAATTTTGTTTTCCTTAGACTCAAGGGGTTCTATTGATGAGTATGCTGAATTGCTAAGCTTAGCTTGTACTCAGCAGTGGTACAAGACGTTACTATTTTAACTGTTTTGGAAAACCTCTTATTTGAGAATTATCTTCGCAGAACCACATTTTTGTAAATGTGTCTCTGCAAAGGTGATATCCAGGAATATATAGTTAAACTACATCTGAGTGTAAGTATCACCTACCTTGGGCACTGGTATTCCAACAATTTTGCAGGTGAATGTAACAGGAGATCCTTCCATGACCCGGAAATGCTTGAGCCTCTTGTCAAAGATTGGTGCTATGCACTTGCCTGTAGGGATTTCATCATGTTGGATTTCATCATCTGATTCATCCACTGGGGTGCGTTCAAGACGAAACTCTATTTCATTCATCAGTCTCTGCTCAAAGTTTGAAATCTTGTACTCCTGCACAATGATATTGGCAATGCACTGACCTTGATTATGCTCAAATATTTCTAATTCCTTGTTGTCTTAAACTAAATATCATCAAAGAAGAGTGAATTTTAAAAAAATCAAAAAAAAAATTCACAGGCGGAATTAGTGCTTTGTGAAGCACCTGATACTCATATGTTTAGAGGATCACACTTTACTTTTGGCATGCATTTTTATTTTTTTTACAAACTTTGGGCTGATTTTTCAAAGGAGCCTCAGGCAGATTGTAAAGAATTGTGCACCTAATTTCTTAGGCTGCTCTAAAAATTTAATTTAAAGAGAATGCAAAAAATTTAAGAAAATAACTGCAATTTTCAAGAATTTGTTTTTCCAAACTAGTGTAGGAGTAACTGG